CCACAGCGCCAAAAGCCGCATGCTGGACGACAAAATCCGAGCGGTGGTGATCCCATCGTGGCGCCGTCGCCGGGCAAGGTGCACTTTCTCGGCGGCCCGACACTCTGCCGTCGTGGAATCGGCAACAGTGCGACGTTGATGAATGGGTGTGTGTGCTACTTTGGGCGCACGGTGCGCCGTCCCCCGCCGGCATTCGCCTCCTGCGCGGAGGAGGGGGTCTCCCTCGAAGGCAAAGTTGCTGTGCGGGCTTGGCCTTCTTCCCGCTGTGTTCAGGCCTTACGGCGTGCGTGCATTGCGACTCTATTTTTTGGCGTCGTGACACTCTCGCCGTCGGAGAGATTGTGCCGGGCGTGGCGGGCCGGGACCGGCATTGCCCGCCCGCCTGTCGCAGTAAGGACATCCATGGAGTGCTGTGGTCCCTCGTGCCGGCACCGGCTCTGTTCCGGAGCGTGCGTGTGCGCGTGAATGGGATGTTGTTCCAGCTTTCGCTTGGGCAACGAATCCACAGGGCGTGCACCGGAGCGGGGTGGATGCAGCCAGATCGTCATATTCACGGGGACGCCCCCTTCGTGCTCCGGTGCTGTACTGCATGTGGAAGTGCCGGAGAGCAACTCTGAGCCCGGCTCGTTGGTCGCACGGCGCCGAGCAGCGAATGGCCTCGGCCTGGGATCTGCATTCCGTGGCGGGGGTGCGATCAGCGTGCCGTCCCTCGCCCTCGTCCTCGCCCAAGTGGCGGGTGGTGGTTCCGGTGGAATTCCCGGCGGCTCCGGTTCACCAGGAGGAATTGACTTTCCACAGCGCCTGGGAGCGCATGATGCCACGGACGTTGGCCATGTGCGTCACGACGCTGGTGCGGCAACCGCAGTGCTTGCCGCACACCGGGCAGTCTGCCGGGCGTCGGATCGTGGCGGGGTAAGGTCAGCGGGAGGAGGAGGCGTTTCCGTGCGAGGTTCATTGCGTGCCTGCTGTGCGGCATCCGAGTTGCACCAACAGCATGTGCTCGGGATGGCGGACCGCAGTGGCCGTAGCAGCCATCCGTAGTTGAGCAGAACCCCGGTGCGGAGGCGGGCCGGTGCGGCCTCTACCCCACGAGTGAGGGTGGCGTCGATGCGCGTGGGTCCCAGTCGCCTGCCGTAGTGGAGCAGCAAGCTTCCTCCCTGAGCTGTCGGGCACAAATAATATGTTTGGACAGTGCGACCATGCCGGTGATCCATCTGTCTGTGAGCTGTGTGAGGTCGGATGCCTTCTCGGATTTCGCACCACAAGCCCCGTTCCTGGACACGCCGCAGTGGCCAACGACAAGCTGCGTCCGTGTGCGCGCTCCTCGGCGCGGCGGGCGGAGCAGGAGTGTCCAGAGTCAACGATGTATCGGGACAGATGCCGTGAGAGGACCCGTTTCTGGAGTGCAGTCAGGAGAGAGCGTGAGCCTGTGAAGGTTGACACACTACGCGGTGCACTGCCTGTCCACCGCATGCTGCTCAACGGCTTTCTTGTACCAAGGTGTGGGGCGATGCATTCGGCTCTGCGGCTGCGTGGTATCCGTTCTGCGCCGGCCCCGGCAATGTTGATCGGCGTTCCATTCAGGTACAGCATCGCCGCTGCTCCCAGCTTGACGCCGAGTTCCACGAAGCCGCCTGTCCATCCTTCGCGGCGTTTTCTTCTGGGTGTGGCGACCGGCCTGTGCGTCAGATGTGGCGGGCGAGTCAGCGGTCACAAGCCTGGTGCTGGACCTCGTCGGGGCCATCTGCAGCGGCACCACCGCGGAAAGCGCGAAAACGGACTCGAGCTGCGGTCCGCGGGGGTGGTCACTGTGAGGGGCGGGCAGCGAGCTTCTGTCCGAAGCGCAGGGCGCAGCGCCATGATGAAGTCGTAAGGTTTTCTGGCGGGGTGCTGCGGGTGGCGGACGATGGAGGCACTAAAACGCAGAGCATCACCACGCGCCTCGCATCGGGGAGGGGCTGCAGCTTTGCCTCCAACACGGCATCCTCCACTCTACTGCCTCTCGGGGTTCACGCAACTATTTTGCTCGCCTGCTACTTTGCGGGATCCGGCGTGCAGCGGGACGTCGGGCAGGCGTCCAACACCATGCGCTGACGCCGTGCGTCGCCTCCGCCCGCGGCAGCGCTATGTACAACGCCCTCAGTGTGTCTCTCCTAGTTTCCCATGCAAAAGACAAAATCGTTGCCAGTTGGAGTGGGCGCTGATCCAATTCCTCATGGCGATTCGCCACGTGTGCCCATTTCAGAAGGATGCTGGAACCTGACGCCCAGAAGAGTCGGCATGTGTTCCATAGCGGCCGGGGCGTCCTCATAAGCGAGGCGCAGTGGGGCCGTGTTGCCGGTGCCAAGGAGAGTGTAACTAGTCTTTCTGGCATTTGCCGCCATGGAGTATTCTCTGGTCCACTCCGCCACGGCACTCAGGCCTTCTTTTGAGGCCGAGTTGATCGCATCCCTGTTGCTCTGCTGTGCGGCGAGAGTGCGGTCATCAGCGATGAACCCTCGGCAAAGTAGGGCACGTTCGAAGGGCACGAACAACGAGACTGCATGACGACGACGAACATGATGGGTGCCAACACTGTTCCCTGCGGTGCGCCTCGTGTGAGGGTCCTGGAGGAGGGTGTGAGTTTGTCGATGCAAACCACAGCGCTTGTGCTATTAAGGCACGCTGCTGACCAGCGTGCGATGCGATTGGGAATCGACAGTCGCCGCATTTCCAAGATTACCGCGTCAGGGCCCACCGTGCCAAAGGCATTGGCGTGGTCCACAAAGTAAGCCGCCGTGCGGTGTTGTGGAGCATTGCGATGCACGGCAGCCCTGAGGTGCAGCAATTGGTCGGGGGTGGAATTGCCCGGCAAAAAGCCAGATGACCGCAGAGCCAACTGGGAGTCGATGACGTCCCGGATGCGTGCGGTGGGGGTGCGTTCCATGAGCTAGCTGGGGCAGCTGCTCAGCGTTACAGGTCGGTGGGAGTCGCGGTTGGATGCCGTTCTCTCCGGATTGGGCAGGAGTAGCACAGCCCCGCGTTGCCAATTCCGCGGGACGGCCCCTGCACGTAGGCGGATATCGAACAGCCAGGGGACGGCACGCCTCGCCATACGACCTAGATGGCGCAGTGCCTCTCCATGTATTCCGTCGGGACCAGGCGCCGGTCCCAAGAGCAACAGCCGTAGGGTGTAGCCGGGCTCTGCCATACTTATTGGGTGAGGTCCATCGCATTCGTCGGGATCGGTGGCGGAGGGTGGGGCTTTGGGTGCCGTGTTGCTTTCGCCGCCTACAGCTTCATGGGGTGGCTGACCTTCAGGTGTCTGCTGAGCATTGGGCCATCGAAATTCATGGCTGGCGTGCTCAAGGAACGAGGGGCTTAAGCACGGGCGTACTACCTGCTGCCTGTTGCCGTCCGTGCCCTCGAGCTCGGAGCGGAGCGTGTGCCAGCGGCTTTCGGATGCTTCGCGCAGCGCTTCCCTGCGACGGAGGTCCCGCCGCTGACCGCCTTCTGCGTGGGGTGCGGCGGCAACGGCGCGGTCCAATTCCGCCAGCCATGGAGTCCAGAATGGGGACGGCTGGTGATTCCATGCCGGGACCGTTGCCCTGGTGGCTCTCCGCGTTCCTAGTACAACGCGCCTCTCCGTGCTGCACATTTTGGTTAATTCTCGTGGGATTCTGCAGAGCTGGCTGAATACTTCGCTGGGCTCATTCCAATCCGCCTTCTTCCGTGCTAATAATTTCCGGTTAGGCCCCAGCACCACGGTGGGTGTGTCGTCGTCCCCGATCGGAACATCGAGGAGAATGATGCAGTGATCGCTGCCCAGTGAGAGCCGTTCGGCCAATGGGTGACGACACAATCCTTCGAAAGGGCGGTGTCAGGGGCTGCCCTGTCGCTCGGTGTACCTCGTGCGCTCTCCGCTGTTGTCGGCCTGGGGCTCATTGTCAATGCACCGCCGCGCAATGGTATCGCCACGGGAGTCTGATGGGATGTTGCGGTCCCAAGCCTCCGTGTGTGCCTCGACGTCGGCGTCCATTAGCTGTGGCCCGTCCGCGCAGAGCTGCCCATCCAAGTCCTCCGCCGTCGTGCTCTTTGCACAGGAGGGAGGAAGACATGCTGATGACGCCATCATGTTACTTCCCGCCGCTGGACGGATGGTCGCTTGCGCCAGCTCGATACGGGCAACAGGGGCCGGTCCTGCCACCGCCTGTGGCCCCTCACGGACGAGAATGGACACACCGCCGCCACGACAGTTGCGGGCAGTCCCGTGGTGCTGCACCCCACCAGGCCAGAAGCAGTGGCTTCAGGGTGGGGGACGTCTCCGTCTCACGCATCACACAAAATAACACGTCCTCGCCACCCAACTTCGTGCCCAGCGCCAGACGTTTCGCCAGAGTGAGGCCGGCGGCGTTCCACCGCAACGCAGAAAGCCGCCGCAAGCCCGCCGTCCACCAGCGAGTCCACCCGTCGTCTGCTTCCCGTCCGCCAAAGCCGCCCCTACACTCTGCAGCCTTCTACAAGAGAACACAAGCAGGGGAAAAAAAGTACAGCTGCGTCGCCAACAAGCAGGGGCCGTGTGCCACTGGCGTTGTCCCGCCCGCTCGGCGCATCGGCGACGGGGCGAGCGTCACGGCACGCACTCTCCACACACCGAGAGCCACACCACCGGCACTGACAGCAAGTCGCACCGTGGGACGCTCCGTTCACAAATAAATCACACGAAAACAAAAGAATACATTCCCAGCGGCTCCCCACCGCGAGGTGAGGGCTCAGGTGTGGGAGGGCCAAGGCAAGCAACGCACACAAAAAAAAAATGTTGAGTCACTCCATTTCCCAATTGCACAATTAAAAGAGAATAATCTTCTGGGCCGCTGGCCTGATCCTGAGTTGCTCAATAATAAAAAACCAAACCAGATAC